GGTTCTTGAGCTGAGCCTCAAAGGGATCTAGGGATTCCTAGGCTTGGAGATTAGGAGATAAAGCATTCCAGGCACAATTTTGCAAAAGTATGTAAACTGGAGATTAAATGTTATAAATGGGGAACAGGAGGAATGACAAGAACGTTGACAGTGTGAGGAAAATAATGTGATATCAGTCTGGCAGGTAAGCTGGAGCAACATTGGGAAGGGCTTAAAATGCTGGTGAGAGGAATGCTAAGCGGTGGCATGGTGAATAAACTTCCGGACTTGGAGTCAGACCTGAGTTCAAATCCCGCCTCAGATATATTTGGTTAGCTCTGTAACCCTGGGCAAGACACTTATCCTCTCTCAGTCTCAGTTTCCTTATAATAATAGCACCTACCTCCAGGGTTGTTGTGAGGATCAAGTGAGATACCATATGTAAAGTGCTTTGCAAACCTTAAAGTGCTATATAAATGTTAGTTTTATTAATACTGTTGTTAGTGGTAGTGGTATTGCTGTTGTCTTATCCTAGAGGGAATAAGGAGTTTTTTAAGTGTCTTTGACAGGGGAATGACATAGGTTGATCTATACTGTAGAGAATACCAACTTGGCAAGCTATACAAAGGATAGATTGCAGACATATATGGTAGGAGGAGAGGGGAAGGGCAAGACTTTTATAGAAAGATTTGTATTGGAGTGTTACCCACTCCAGTGGCATCTTTCCATCCTATTTGCCCATATTAGTGTTCAATGAAAATGGGAAAGGCCACTTCCTCCCTAAGCAGGATTCATGATTTCAGATCCTTAAAGAAGGTTAGTTTTTCTAGGAGCATAAATTTTTTTGAAATCCTTTGAGATGAGAATTTTTCTATAAATGTATATGTCTAATATTATATCAGAGATGGTATGGAGGTGGCAAGAAAAGATCAGTCCATTTCTTGACCAGACAAGTTTGGAAGTGTTCTCAAAAATAATAATAAAATGAAAAGTTACCGTGAACCATGATACAGATAATCATATCTGCTTAGAAACTATTCATACTCAAGTTAATCAACTTCAACAAATAAAATATCTGACATTAGATTGGTGCTTTTGAATCTGACTTGTGGCAAGCTTCCACAGGTTGTCATTACCAATTTGTTTAATCTGGTACATTTAGCATGAATTAATTTTCTCAGATTTTTGCATCATTATATTTCTGCATTTGTATTGGACCTCATTAAGGCCAGTACCTTCTTTATTTACTGATTAAGTGATTAAACTATTGCTCTATGCAGTACAGTAAGTATCCCTAATGGTAAACAGCCAAGTCATGATTACAAACTAAAACAAAGCAGGTTTTGCATTGCTTTTCAGTATCCTTAGTTCCCTAACTAGAAGAGGACTTATCAGGCCAATGCAGCAGTTTTATTTGATTCCACATTAATACATTAGCTTGTGATAACAGAATTCAAATTGACAGAACTGAGAACCAATATAATATAAATTACTCCAAAGGTTCAGAGCAATGGGACGTGCTCCTTGCTTATCTCTGATTTCCATGGCCCTGGCAAGAGTCTTTGAAGAAGTGAATTATGACTAGGGAATGGAACTCTTTGGAGAAATTCATAATCTCAAAAGAGGCCTGTTGGGTGATCAAATGCATCAATGAGCTAGGTACGGTTTTGTAAAACCAAACTTGTTTTTTAGACAAACCAGAAGAATGAAGGAACTAAAGAATCATGTCATATGAAGATCATGAGAAGGAACTGGGAATGTTTAGCCTGGAGAAGAGAAGGTTTAAGGGAGACACGATAATACTTTTCAAATTTTGGAAGGCTGCCATGTTGTTCTCCAAAGCTCCAGAGGGCAAAACCAGGACAGACGGAAGGAAGTCAGGGAGTCAGAGGTTAGTTCAAGATGAAGAACTTCCTAAGAGAGCAACCCAGTGGTAAAATGGGCTGTCTTGGGATAAAGTGACTTTTCCATCATGAGGTATATTCAAGCAGAGACTGGATGGCCACTTCTCAGAGCTATGATGGAGGAGATTCATGTTGTAGGTAGGCCTTGAACTATATGAATGACTTTCAAGGTCCTTCTAGGTCTGAAGTCCGATGATTTGGTGGATATGTTAAAAAAAAAACAAAACCTTAAGGCTTACAAATTTTATCTTTAGCTCCATTAAAAGTTGAAAGATTTTAGAGAGAATTTTTAACTAAATAAGACACAAATTACTCCGAAGACCTCAGAACCAGTTTTTCTGCACATTTGTTTGGAAATTAATAAAAATTATACTAGTAGCTAGATGGTACAATAGATAGAGTGCTGGGCCCAGAATCAGAAAGATTCATTTTCCTGGGTTCATATCCAGCCTTAGAAACTTACTAGCTGTGTGACCTTGAGTGAGTCACTTAACCCTGTTGCCTCAGTTTCATCATCTGCAAAATGAGTTGGAGAAGGAAATGGCAAACTACTCTAGTATCTTTGCCAAGAAAACTCCAAATAGGGTCACAAAGAATTGGACACAACTGAGACGACAGAACAACACCAACGATAGTATAAAAGATTCTTATCTATTTATGAAAGATAATCTGGTCAGAAATTTATTTGATGGCATATTTTTACTGTTGTCCCAATTACAAAGTACATGTCAAAATAATAAACGTGCATTTTATTTCAAAATATTGTTCTTTTCTCAAATATTCTGAAAATACTTTTTATTTATTTATATTTTTTATTTTTATTTTTATTTTTAGGCAATTAGGGTTAAGTGACTTGCCCAGGGTCATACAGCTAGTAAGTGTCAAGTGTTTAGTCTGAGACTGGATTTGAATTCAGGTCTTCCTGACCTCAGGGCTGGTGTTCTATCTACTACGCCACCTAACTGCCCCATGAAAGTACTTTTCAAAAATGCTACTGTATGGAAGTTGTGAAAGTCCCATTTTGAGGGAATGATAGTAATGATAGTATATACAATTGTTATTTTACTTAAATTTAGTGACATAATCTATTGTAAACCTAATCTTCTACCCTGCACATACTAGGGATTTAATGCTTATAAAGATTAATTTTATTGACATGTATAATTCAAAATTAAGCACATTTTACAATTCAATTGAGAATACATGCAGAAAGAAAGAAGAGGGAATGAGGGAGTGGGGGAGAGAGAAGAGGGATAGGAAAAAAAGATAAATTTTGGTCTGGACTTGTGGTTTTATAAAGAACTCCCTGGTGCCCAAATTCCCTCTTCACTAATGTAGATTAGCAATTCCCATAATTTATAGTCTTATAATCTTTTTACAGTCTTCCCATAATGTATAGTCTTACAGGCTATAGTTATAGTCATAGTCTCCAATTATCCAGAGCACAGAGAAACTGAGTGATTTGGCCAGGGTCACACTTAATATGTGTCCCAGGTAGTACCTGAACCCAGGTCTTCCTGAAATCAAGATTGGCTCTCCATCTACTATGCCATACTGCCTCGAATATAAGTTGTACTCAATGAATTACCAGAAAGAGAAACAAGATCTGTTTTTCACAATTTCATATTTACAGTGAATATATTAATTACATAAAAGGAAAGATAATTTCATGTCTTATAGGTAGTTTTTTATCTTGGAGAAAAGCTGCCCATTAAGGTCTCTTTCAACTTTATCATTCTGTGTTCTGCATTCTAAGATCTATTTAATTTATAAATAAAGGGAGAGAAGTAATAATATTGGCATGCTTAATCTACTATCAATATTCAAATAGAAAATAATTTTAAGATAAAATAATTTAAGATTTAATTTTAAGTTAGAATTTAAGATTATAATTTAAGATAAAATTATAATTATATATGTCTAACTTCACTTAATTGGTTGGGGTTTGGGGGGATTTGTTGATAGAAGAGTGAGAATCCATTTTCATGAACTGAGTCCTGATTTTAAAAAATAATAAAAATTTTATTACAGTGATTTAAAACTATGATAAAGCCTGGGATAGTGAAGACAAAAAGTCACAGGCCTCGGAGTCAAAGTTCCAATTCAAGCACTTACTGGGTAGGTGACTATGGGCAAGTCTTTTATCACTGTGAGCCTCAGTTTCCTCATCTGTAAAATGGGGATGATAATATTTCCAATACCTACTTGATAGCACTTTTTGGAGAAAAATGTTATTAAAATGTGAGCTACTATTTTTGTGGTCATTTAATATACAAAGTGAAAAATGTGTCGATTCTCTACATATCCTGATCTCCAAACATCTTTAACATTGGGTTAACACAGTGATTTTGAATGCTTTTAGAGCTGGACACTCTCTTGGTATATATCTAGTGTTAAAAAAAATAATGCAGTTGTGTGCAGGTATATTGTAAAATGACTCTTAAGACAGTTTTCAAGGTAGAGTCTAATATAATCCATTGCATGTAGTGTAATGTTTGTTGAACAGCTGGATGAGTTCCAAATAGTGAGGAAAAGCTGAATTCAAGTATTTCCTATGACTGTGTGTGTTTGACTTTGGACAAGTCACCTTCCAGTTCTCTAGGTAGCTTTTAAAGGCTACATTGGTAGAAAGAATTATTTCTTCCAAGAGTTCCCAATACCAATGAAGTCAGAGATCCAATCCTCAACTAGTCCCTATCCCTGTTAAAAATAAGAGGCTGACTTATCTTCCTGACTTACCTTCCTGAATTCAAATCTGACTTTAGACACTTACAAGCTATGTGACTCTGAGTAAGTCACTTAACCCTGTTTGCCTCAGTTTCCTCATCTGTAAAATGAGCTGGAGAAGGTCATGGCAAACCACTCCAGTATCTCTACCAAGAAAACCCTAAATGAGGTCACAAAAAGTCAGACACAACTGAAACAAGCAGACCACAAGGTCTCTTCCAATTGTATGTCCTGGGGTACCTTCCAGCTGTAATATTTTGTGTTTTAAGTTTCCTTTCAGATCTAATATTCTATGTTCTAAAACCTAAGTAAAGACCTTTCTCAGTTAGTCAATAAGCATTTATTAAGTGCCTACTGTATACTAAATTTCTAATTTATCGTAAAACTTACCCATGTAGGGCTTTGTTCCAGCCATCGAGGAAGCCTTTTCTGCTCCTTTTATTACAGTGGCGATGTTAAAGTCAGTTATGTGGACATGCCCTAAAAATACAGAAACACAAATGAATGTTAACCATGTCACATCTGGGTCTGATCATTGTTTGGCTAACACATGGAAAAGAAACTTGTCTGTTGGGTATAATAACACCTGTGCCTTCCACCCCCTGGGAGGGCAGGGAAACATTGCATTGGCTATAAAACCTTAGTTTGGAGGATGTCCATCAGATTGGCTCAATGCTATACCATTTAAACTCATGTTAGATTTTACGTGTCTTTTTATTAAATTTCATAGTATTAAATTCAGCCCATCATTATACTTTGTTAAAAAATCTTTTTGGTTCCTGGTGCTGTCATCCAATGGATTAGTTATCCCTCTAGGCTTCATTTTATTTGCAAATTTTATAAGCAACTCATTTGTTGTTACTGAAAAAATTGATTAACATTATAATATGTAATTATAATAATATAGTGATATTTAATATAATTATTAACATTAATATCAATGTGACCTAACCTAGATTTTATTTAAACATATACACATGTATATGTGTATATATGTATATGCCTATATGCATGTATACGTGTGTGCTATGCACATGCAGCGTAAGCCAAGGACAGGTCTTGGGAGATCAGATTGCCTTTCAAGGTAAATGTGCCAAAGTGAAAAACAAATGAACAAACATAACCAGACTTGGAATCAAGACTGGACTTTATTCTTGGTTGTCACTTATTCGCTCTTTGGCCTGGGAAAGTGACTTCATCTTCTAAAGCCTTCTTTGCTTTCCTCATCTGTAAAACCAGTATACCAATAGACTATCACCTTCACTGGCTTCTTGCAAAGAAATTTTTTTGCAAACCACATAGGGTTATCAATATATAATCTATTCTTGTTTCAAGTCAGTATGATAAACTGAAATGGGCATTTGAAGCTTAGTTCCAAGGGCAGTTCTGACCCTCACTGGCTCCATGGCCCTGGACATCATTTAAACTCTTTGAGTCTCACCTTCCTCATCTGTTAAATGGGAATGCTAACATTTGAATGGCTTACCACACAGAATTTTTTTAGGGCTCAAATGATATAATTATGCTTTAACTCCACTCATTTTTGGAGGGTATCAGGCCTATGATGTCAACGATATAGGGAACAACTCCCTTGTACCAATGCAGGTTAGCATTTGTTCTAATGTGAGCAGCATGATTTGGCCAGGACCACAAAGCCAACAGGTATCAGAGGTAAGACTTGATGTTAGGTCTTCCTGACTGCCAGCTGACTATATAGACTATGCCCTGCTGCCTTTTTATACATTATATATATATATATATATATATATATGTGTGTGTGTGTGTGTGTGTGTGTATGTACACGTGTGTGTACACACACTCATACACATATGTATACATATATGTAAACATATATATACACATATATATAAATACATTTGGTTGTTGTTCATTTATTTTGATCATGTATGACTTTTTGGGACTCCACTTGGGATTTTCTTGGCAAAGATACTAGAGTGGTTTGCCATTTCCTCCTCCCATTCATTTTACAGATGAGGAAACCGAGGCAAACAAGGTTAACTGACTTTCCCAGAGTCACACAGCTAGAAAGTATCTGCAGCTGGGTTTGAACTCAGAAAGATGAGTCTTCCTGACTCTAGGTCTGGCACTCTATCTACTGCACCACCTACCTGCTCCATCTAACACATACTTGCAAATGATTTGTTTTATCCCGAATTTTATATCACTTATCCCATTTGATGCTAATGATATCAGGTAGGCCCAAGTACTATTACCTCCATTATACAGATGAGTAAAGTAAGATGCTGTATGGTATAACAATACAATATGGGAAAACAATCCAGTCAGCCAAAGCATATTCAAAAAAGCAAATTTTATCATAGAGAAATGGACAAAGTGAAGTCCTTTTTTAAATTGTTATGCAACAAGCACTGATTTCATTGACTGAAAAAATAATGTCTCTGTGGCCAGAATCACCTTTAAACCTTTGGTTTCCTTTTCAGGGAACCTTCACTTTGAAATGCAAAGTGAAAAGTGATGCTTTTTGAACTGAACAAAGATGGGGTGTAGAGACAATGGGGAATTATACATCATGACGCAGACAGCTTATCGATCTTTTCCTCCTACACAATACCAACAGGTAATTGCCAATTTCCGACTGTTGAGGCATCAGTAACAGTGAACCTACCAAGCCCCCGACTGAAATCAGTTCCGCATTCCATAGAAACTAACTTTGATTACATATAAGAGAAATGATTAAGATCGAAGGCTCACATCATGTACCTCATTGCTTAAGTATATTCTGTTGGCAAGCTTTAAAGTAAGGGATCTTTCTTACAGAAACTGGGGCTTTTTCAACAGAGAGAAAAATCAAGGTGCTCATCATTGCAGACTGCTAGGTTCTGTGACATCTGACCTAGGCATTCCAGACAAAGTGAAGAAAAACTCAGATGCTAGCAATGACTCATGGGGTTATTAATCTAGGGTTCATGAACTTGATTTTGGGGAAAAAAATTTTGATGATTATTTCAAAATAATTGGGCTCCTTTTCAATCCAATGTATTTGGTATATTTTTAAAAAGTCATTCAGAGAAGGGGTCCACAGGCTTCACCAAATGGCCAAAGGAATCCATCTCTCTCTCTCTCTTTCTCTCTCTCTCTCTCTCTCTCTCTCTCTCTCTCTCTCACACACACACACACACACACAAATGAAGACAATATCAGAATATCCTCATTTAAGAGGGAGGGGGAGGAAAATAAGGATTTATTAAGCTCCTACTATGTGCTAGTCACTGTGCTAAGTGCCTTCAAATATTATGGGTAATAGTCTGATTTGATCTTCACAACAGCTCTGGGAGGGTAGGGTATGTGTAATTATTATCCCTATTTTTAATTGAGGAAACTGAGGTTAAGTGACTTGTCAGGGTTACACAACTAATTAGAGTCTGAGGCTAAATTTGAATGCACATCTTCCTGACTTCATGCCCAGATCTCTAGCCACTGCATCACCCAGCTGCTTCTAAGTCACTTAATTTCCCTTGGCCTTGATTTCTTCATCTATAAAATACATTCATAAAACCTATATAGCTTGCAAAGGTATCATGAGGAAAGAACTTTGTAAAATATAAAGCACTCTAGAAACATAAGTTGTTATTAGTACATAGCATATACAGAATAAAATATTTTTAAATGATTGATTTAATTAAATGATTAAATGATGTCAGTTTCATCAAGCAGGCACAGCCCAGGGAAGAAGCCATATGAGGTTGTTGGGGTAGCCAGTGAAATGCAAGCTAGAAAAAAACAATTGCCCATCCTAAGTAGGGTGATAAGCTCTCGGATATAACCTAGGGCACTATTGATAATGATTAATAACAGACTCACTCCTGAGAAATCCATTGTTGGTGTCCCTGAAAGGGCTTGCAGAGAATCAAAAATCAGATCTTGGGCAGCGTCACAATTAAGCAGGCATGCCACTGATCAGGGTGAGGATTACATGGAGGCTAATTAGCTTCCTTTTTAACATCTGGAAAAGGAAGGATGGGATGGCTTTAGGATTTAGGGCTGGGGACTTGGATTTGGAAGGTACATTTCAATTCTTTCATCTCTCCATCTCACCCAATTGGAAAGATGTAGAGGACACAGTGTGAAGCTACTACATGGAAAATGAAGTGTTTAGTGCAGGTGATACTGTGCCAGACAGGAAGATTATCACTTCAGGTTTTCACTTGCTGACTTAATTGATGAGTGCTGAACCTCCCATTTCTTCCCCTTAAGTGATATAAGAGTGTAGGTAGAAGAAAATCAGAGCTGAGCAAAGTTTCCTAATGAATTGAAGTTGAAACTTTCTCTAAAACACACAAATATGACCTGAGAGTGGGCCATATGTTCTCTGCAAACTCAAATTCAATCCTATTCAACAAGTAGGAACATAGGATTTAGAGCTCCATGGGTGCTCAAAGGTCATCAAACAGAACCTTTGGAAATGTTGAACAATTGAAAAAGCATTGGTTCTGGAGTCAAAGGATCTGGGTTCAAATTTCACATCTGCCACTTAAGTATTTGTATATGCGTGGACATATTCCTTTCCATTTCTGGGCCTCAGTTTCCTCAACCGTAAAATGAGAAGGATAGGCTAAATCAGAGGTGTCAGATTACTACCCATAGTATGCTTGAATGCCCTGAAACCAGACTGAAATATAATTGAGAAATATTTAAGAAAATAAATAAAAATACAATATAACATAGATAGTAGTGTGTTTTTCTAAGTCAATATGTGGCCCCCCCCCACCCCGGGATCCTTACCTATACTTTAGTGGCCTGTTTCTATTTCAGTTTGACATTGCTGGGCTAGATTAGGTCCATTCCAACTACAGATTTATGACTCTCTGACTTCCTTGGGTCACAATTACTGTTGTTATTATCATTAAAAGATTGTCATTATTATTATATTGGCATGGTCCAGCCATTAGCACTGAATATCCTTCCTGTTATTTAAGTAATTCTCTATTTCATTAAAGATTGATTTGTAATTGTATCACTAGACTAGATCTTAAATTTGCATTGATTGACTCAGACATTTCAAGCATTTTCACAGTTTCTTTGAACAGGACTTCCTTTTCTATTATTTCCTCCTGAATTCTGCTGTTTCTAACAAGTTATGCTATTGAATTTAACAAAGCCATTGTCTTAATCATTTCTTTGCAGATTTTCTAAGTATATAATGACGTTATCAGCAAACTCCAAATGACTATGACTTGACCAGGCCAGTTATTATGAAGAAAACCTTGCAGAAATGGGAGTGATTACCACAAACAATCTGTGAGAGAAAAAGGTGGTTAAGAAATTGACTCTGCCATGGAGGGAGACATATTCTAGTAGGGAAGATTTGGAACTGTAATAAAATTGGAAGCTCAGTGGATGGGATAGAATGGGATTATCAAAAAGCTTCATACAAATGGTGTCACCTCATCTGGGTCTTGAAAGATTGGGGCTTGGAGAAAGGGACATTGATTGCAGGA